GTAACAAATGCTAGCAAAATATATCAAACTCAAATAGCTGATAAGAATGTACTGCTTAAAGAGGCAGCTGACCGAGAAGAAAAACTACAAAACGAAGTACAGACTGGGAATGTACTACTTAAGGAGGCGGCCGACCGAGAACAGAAACTACAACAAGAAGTACAGACCTTGAAGCAGGAGCTAAGCACCTACAAACGACAAATCCAAATGATGGACACCACTTCAACACTTGATAAAATCCTTGATTCCGGAAGAAAAACTTCTGCAAAATTTGGTTTGGGCTTCACCGGAAGCAACTCAAAAGATAAAACGGTATTTTTCAAAGCGTCTGGACCTGATCCAGAGGACATCCCTAAATCCAGCACAATGAAACGCACCCATAGTATAGTAAGATCAAATAAGCTACATTATAAACTCTATAACCCCGTATGTCACTATTGCAGATTACGAGGCCATACCAGACCTGAATGCTACTACTTTTACAAGGATCAAAGAATCGAGAAGTTCAGGCACAAGAACATTCAACCCTTTACAAAACAGATTTGGGTTAAAAAGACTTGCTATATTTCATTTGTTTCTTTTCACTCTAAAAGTGCAGGAAGAGAAGAGAAATGGTACTTTGACAGCGGGTGTTCCCGTCACATGATAGGAAATGTCAAATTCCTAAGTAACGTAAATGCCAGTAAAGGTGAAGTTACCTTTGGCGACGCTATTAAAGGTCAGGTTACTGGCGTAGGCACACTAAATCTTGCCAAAGCTAGACAAAGTATTGCTTGTCAGTGGCCTTCATGCAAATCTTATCAACATAAGTCAACTATGCGACTAAAACTGGAATGGTGGTTTCACCAAAAATAGCTGCAGTGTTATGGACAAAACAAATCAATGCGTTATAGAAGGTAAAAGGTCAATTGACAATTGCTATATTCTAACTAACATATCTTCTGTTGCAGGACCAGCATAGATGAAGCTGAGCTATGGCACCAAAAAACTGGGGTATCTGAGTTACAGACTACTTGATAAACTAATGAAGATAGAAGGTGTTCGTGGTTTACCCAAGATAAAAGTTGAATCAACCATTTGTGGTGCCTGCCAAGCTGGGAAACAAACTAAATCATTTCATCCAGCTCAACATACCATAAACACGAGTCACTGCCTAGAACTGATCCACATAGATCTCATTGGTCCTACTCAAACAGAGAGTTTTGGAGGTAAGAAATACATACTGGTATGTGTTGATGTTTTTTCACGTTTTTCGTGGGTAATCTTTCTCAGGGAAAAATCCAAGCACTTGAAGGTTTCAAAACAATGGGACTGAAACTCCAAAAGGAAAGAAATGAACCTATTATTCGAATTCGAAGTGATCACGGACGGAAATTCGACAACAACTTGTTCGATGCCTTTTGCAATCAATCAGGAATTACCCACGAGTATTCAACACCAAAGACACATCAACAAAATGGAGTCGTTGAATGAAAAAACCGCACCATTCAACAAATTGGACGAGTCCTGCTCAACGCCAAAGGATTACCTCAAAAATTCTGGACAGAAGCTGTAAACACTGCATGTCACATCCCCAACCGAGTCTATCTTCGGCCAGGCACAAGTTACACACCGTATGAATTATGGAAAGGTAAGAAACTGAATATTAAATACTTTAACATTTTTTGCTCACGATGTTTTATTTTGAAGGATAGAAATATTGTTGCAAAATTTGAACCAAAAAGCTACGACGGGATCTTTCCCGGTTATTCAACGAATATCAGTGCATATCATGTATACAACAAAGTGACCAAGACCATCATGGAGTCTAAAAATGTTGTAATTGATGATCAACCGAATGATATTGTTGAAGTTTCACAACCTGAGTCAGTGACAGAACCTGATGCAAACTGTTCTGAAACTCCTGATCGTGAAACTCCTGAACCAGATCCAGAGTCACCTACACCATCACCAACGCCATCTGAACCTGACCCAGAACCAAAATCAGAATCTGACACTGATCAAGACGACATTGACATTCCAACACGCATCCATAATAGATCATCCATCTTCAAAATTAATTTTGCCATCATCTTTGATGATAAGGTCTACAGGTTCATAATCTCTAATTCCTTTTGTTAATTTTATGAATATTTTAGGGTGTCATTGTCTAATGTGTCCTGTGAAATACCTGCAATTTTTCTTATGTCTAAAGCTAAGTTTTTATGTGTTCCTTTACCTAATTTGGTGCCCTCTACTTCAATATCCTTGCATTCATCAAATCTTGACAATTCTTCATCTTTGCTAGTGTAATTATTCTGCATCTGTGATAGAATCTATTTCAGGATCAGGGAATTTTTCTTTTGAATTAATGGTTTTGTTCCTACATGCTCTCACATTGCATCTATGTCTTTTTTTTTGTGCGTATCTCTCTATGATTGATTTGTCCTCTAATCCAATTTTTTTTTAAAATGTTCTCGCAATTAGTCCTTTTCGTTACCTAACTCTAAATTGCGGATTAATTCTCTGTGTTTGTTTTTTACTGTTTCTGTGTGTTCACTAAATGTCCTATCTATGTTGTTTTGACTGCTTTTGATATGATAATCCTTTGATTATGCCTTTTTGTTGGTGTTTCTTGTGCTAAAAATTGGAATTCTATAAGGTTGCTTGAATGGTAAATTTGCTGCAAGTTGATATTCGTATGTGTTTATGTGGATATACCTATTGATTTACCTGCAATCTCCATAAAAGTGTTATCTGTAATCTTGCTCTGTGTTATGTGTTTAGTCTGGTCATGACCGTATGTGTGTTTATTTGTGTGTTTTCCCGTGCTATCTGGTATGAATTTGTGCCTAAATTTGATTTATATGAATTTGTGCCTGATTTGGCTTTATTTGAATCTCTGGCTGAATATGCTTTACCTGAATGTGCTTACTGTCTTATTTACCAATATGTCTTTTTGAGTGACCCAATTGTGTGCTTTTTGTATAATTTGCTACGAATTTGTGCCTGAATGCGTTTATTATTTGGTATGTTTTATCTACTTAATCTGCTCCAACTTGACTTGTGCTTATATGTTATCACGTTATGCTTTTCTCGTTTTGTTTCTAATCTTCTTATGCAGGTTCAGTCCCATAGGGCACTCCGTCAGACTCAATCCACCAATATAGATGTTCACCTTTGTCAATTTATTGACAAAAAGGGGGAGTATATACTAAGGGGGAGTATGAATTAAGCACAAAGGGGGAGTATGGGTTAAGGGGGAGTTTTGGTAAAACTGTTGGAATTGGAGTCGCACTGATTGGTAGCAGTTGGATGATGGTTGGATGGTGGTTATTTTTGGCTTCTGATTATTATTGGATTCATAATTCATATTATTGGGATTTGGCTTCTGATTATTATTGGGATTCTTATTACCTTCTGAACTTCAGTGGATTCTTATCTATATCTTATTACTCACATCAGTTCAGCGGATTATCTATGGATTATTAATATTTGAGTGTGATACAACTTGGGATACAGTTTTCTGTTGGGATTATTATCAGCGGATGAAGCTACATTCCATATGACATGGTAATTTCTCAAAATAATTCTAACCCATAGGTTTACATGTCAAGCAAGTATACTAAGGGCCACCTATTAATAAAATTGTTTGAAAGTGAATTTATTTTGGCCCTAAGTATACATGCATTAGTTTTTGCCAATTAAATTGCTAAAGGGGGAGATTGTAAGTGTACAAATGATACACGTAAAAAACCCTTAATATAAATTGGCTAATTTAATTATTAAAGGGTTAGAATTATTTAATGTGAAATACTTTATGTTATACGCTTGAACCATCTCATATTTATGTTGCTCCACAGGTTTGAAATTAATATTGAGCTATTATTATTTAACATGGAATTAATTATTATGGTCATGGTATATTTCAAGTGAGCAGCGCCTGGAGCAAAAGGCATGATTATATGGTTTATTATGGCACTCAATGGGCTTATGGAATCAAAGCTATAATTAAGGAGTTTATTATCTTTGAGTGGCTTTGGTAAATCTCAAGTGAGTGGATGGCTACTTCAAATCGAATGTGTATGGTTGCGGTTTATCGAAATGAAATGGATGCTAATATTAAGGATCAAGGTGATGGGTTAAACAACTATAAAAAGAAGCCTCTCCAAAGAGGAAAGTTGTCAATTTCGTGAACTGCTATATTGAGCAAAATCTACACAAGTGCTATTTAAATTAATCAGCTAAATTATATTATTATTATTATTGTAGTTCAATTCTGGTCTGCACAGACAGTACCTGGTACAGCTGAAGCTTCGCTTGAAGATTGCTATGGCATGCACGGTTCAGTCCTGAATAGGTGTTAGGAAGGGTTGTAGTGGTAAAGGATGAGGGCCATTTGTACTTACCTCTTGTAATACTCCTTGGTGAACATCTATAGTGGATTGGGCATACGTGAGTTGCCCCGCAGACGTAGGAGAAGCGCTCCGAACTGCGTGATCAATCTCTGAGTACTTGTTTTATTTTTATGCTTTTATATTTTGTTATTTATGTTCATTAAATAACCTAATTAATTGATAATGCAATATCTCTTCTAAAAACAAGTAGAACATTGGTGAATTTGGTTTCCTCCTCCACATTCCATTCTAAGTACCTATCGAACTTGCATTGGTCTAGCATTAGACTCCCAAGATTGGGAAGTTGTGCAATTGTTGAAATTGTAGACACCAATTCAAACGTATTTCCTTAATACTTGATGGAAACTTGCCGATGGAAGTTGAGGACTTAATTGGACAAGAAAAATTGTCGAGGACTTAATTGGACAAGAAAAATTGTTGAGGACCGAATTGGTAATTTCGCAATAGTCGGGAGCCCATTTCGGTAATAAACTCTTTGAAAAACATATATATATATATACATATCTTCTATTATAATATAGCAGAACCTTAGTTTTCCCGCTCAATGAAAGAAAGTTCTAGATCAATTATAAAACAATTATTACTGATACTAATAAGGAGTAATGATTGAATGTTAAAAGATAAAAGGAACCGAATAGGCAAAGTCACATCATTAAATTACAGAACTGGACAGTTCACTCTCCAATAACACAATTAATATCTAATAATTATTAGTTTAGCTATAAATAGTTCAAACTGACACCTAATTCTTCAAACGAAAGGTGCTGCCAAAATACTCCAAATTTCTTTCGAAATGCCATCTCAATACATCCTTGCAAGCCCTCTCCATACAAGGAGAGCAATCTGAGTTCGAACTGGTCAGAACCTACCCTACGAAGTTCCTGAGATAGTTCATGACGAAGAGGTAATGTTAATATAAGATATTATGTAATATTTTTCTGAATCCTTATTAACAGTTGCTATTGTTTCATTCTGTTCTGTTCAAAGTGTGGGTAAGACATATTTGTTTTCCTATTTTGACACAAACAAATAAATAATTTTTTTAATTTATGTTACTTATTCATATTTATATAAACAATCTTTTCATCATTTAACACTCTCATAACAGTAAATGCAGAGCTCTCTACCTACTGTTCTGCCTTGGATGGGGATCAAGAAATAGACCTTTTGTCAAAAATGATTGAAGAAGATTATAATAGAAGATTTGTTTATAGCTTTATTTGATATTCTAACTACTTTTTTAAATGTTTTTAACAACTTTTAGGAAGCATCACAGGTGTTGAAGTTAAATGAAGCAGGACAAATTTTGTTTACAGAAAAAAATGGCATGTTCAATTTTACATTGAAAAATAAATTTCAAGATAAAAGTATAAGCAAATTTGAGTTAAAATGAAGCAGCACACAGTCTGTTTACCTAAAAAAAAAATCAGTAATAATAAGAATTAATATCTGAAGGCTGATTGAAAATAAGTTAATTGAAAAATTAGAAAATTAAAAAATAATAATAATTGTTCATTGTAAGAAATTATGAACTACATTTATTTCCAAACTTTGAGAGTAAAAAAAAGAGATAGAAACTGGATTGATCTACACGAGCTTGGATAGATAAAAATACAGACTATAACTAAAATTACAATCTACATATACCACAGGGAAGATCTATCAAAGTTTATTAAGAAGAAGTAACTTATCTCAGACGGGTCTACACGAGCAAATTCAATCTCACTGAGTCAGTGATGAAGGTGATTTGAAAAAAATACAACTTAGAAATTAGATCGAACCTGTGCATAAATAAAGTATACAAATTGTAACTCAAAATTCAATCTATCTATATAAAATGTATGGAATACCTAAAAAAGATTATTAGAATAAGAAACTTATCTATGACGGATCTACAGGACAAATCTGAAACCCCCATTGTCAATGCTAAGACGGCGTACAGGGTCAGGTAGAGCGACGGTTGACCGAACAATCTTGCAACAGATAAGCACAGAACATTCATCCATTGATAGTTGCTGAAGAAAAAAATATGTATTTCGAAACCTAAGTTTGAGATTTAGCGGAAGAGAGAAGAAAGACATTTGCTCAGCCGGTCTCGAGTTCGGCCGAGTGTAGAAGCCGAATGATGAAGCTGAAGAGTTTTGTCATTTTATATTTAGGGTTAGGTTTAGATTATGGACTCGGCTATGTTATGGGCTTTTTTTGCGAGTTAAGTTAAAATTATATAAGTTTGGTCCCAAAACGCAAACTATTAAGCAATTAAATTAATTGTGTGGTTTGAAAGGCCCTATAATATTTTGGGTCAACCATGTTACATTATAAATTAAATTATGTGTGTATGTGTATTTATATTTATTATACAATTATTGTTGTATTTATTAATTTATTAATTAATTTTTTGGGTTTTCTAAATTATTATATGTGTGTATACATACACATACATACATATATATATATATATATATATATATATATATATATATATATATATATATATATATTTATTTATTTATTTATTTATTTATTTACTATTTTTAGTTTCAATTTTATGTATGTATATTTATGTATACAATTATTATATTATTATTGAAAATGGTGATGCTGATTAATACTCATTAATATTTTACTTTTAATTTTGATAAATAATTGGTCGATTTTATATAAATTGGATACACATACCCATGCATATATTTATTTCTACGTATCTATATTTTATATATAAATACAAATATATATATATATATATATATATATATATATATATATATATATATAAAACAAATTAAATATTTATATATAGATTTTTTCTTAAATTTACTTATTCACAGGAATTAAAATTTTAATATGTAGTGATTGTCAACAATGTTGTAAACTTTTTAACCGTGCACCGCACAGGGCAAATACTAGTATATGTATATAGTTGAAATTGTAGTGTATTTTTAGTATTAATCCAATACATTTAAAAGTTTGCTTTATACACTCATATTTCAGCAGAAGGATTCTAAGTATTATATTCTAATAGAATGCGTTTACAGAGTAAATATAAATAAAAGAGTTACAGTACAATAGAGAAATATTAATATTATTATTCAAATTTAAACCATAAAAGTAATATCAAGTTGTGATTATTTTATGAATCACTTTGGTCATACTCTTGGCCTCTTTCTCCTCCTTCTTTCGCCTCTTTTTATTTTAGCGCACATGTCATCAAATTTCCTCATCCTGACACGTACAACTAATTTGAATTTATTCCAAGTCTCATTCACAGAGTTCGACTCATGCTCAGAGTTGATCCTAGATGGCTCTACCATTCTTTTCAATAAACAAGAAAAGAGATTAGAAGGACTTTTTTTTTTTGAAGGGAGATTAGAAGGACTTGACACATCAATAGTAAAAATATATTTTGCATGCATATTTTATCTAGAAAGTGTTCAATGCAAGCTTAGTAAGAGAATATAACATTTTTCTTTAAAATATAATCATAACTCTATTCTGTCCCACCAAAAAAAAAAACAAAAACAAACAAAAAAAACAAACAAAAAAAAAACAAAAAAAAACAAAAACAAAAAAAACAAAAAAAAAACAAAAAACAAAAAAGCGGTTTGTACATATATCGACATATGAAAGCCACAAGATGTATAAAGCCATGTTTTGATGAAAAATTTTTATATGACTGACTCGTAATATAAATCAATTTTGTATTCATTAATATTGTACAAACATGCCAATTTAAACACCAAGTCAAAAATGATAATGAAAAAAATAAAGTGAAAAATTAAGTTAGTTAATTTCACTTACCGAATATCTTGACATTGAGTTGCTTGTTTCCTATATCCCGTGCAGATTCCTCAATATTCTTCACCCAACTTTCAACAGTGGGATTGCAATATTGCACAACGATCTTATTCAATGTAAAAACATCATCAAAACTAGAAGGCATTAGTCGTAAGTTGCGACAGAATTCCAAAAGTAATTGCTCAAGGCAAGGAAAGGACTCAGCAGCATAACTAATATTCCAAATTTGAATATCAACATCAAGTAATTGGAGGGTTTTGAGTTTGGGGAATTTGGTTTCCTCCCTCACATTCCATATTAAGCCCTCCTCAAACTTGCATTCAAATAGTATTACACTCTCAAGATTGGGAAGTTGTGCAATTGTTGAAATTGCATACACCGAAAGAGTAATATAAGATAAATGTATTTCCTTAATAGTTGATGGCAACTTGCGGAGTGGAAAACTTTCATAAGCACCACCGGATAACTCAAGATTTTCAAGATGATGGAGAAAGTCAATTTCAGGAAAGCCTTCAGAACTTGAGACTCCACAACTCAAAGTTTTGAGATAGGGAAGCTTTCTCAATAAATCTTCATGCATTGGAGTGAGTGGACATGGCGAAACCCAGGTTTGCAATTCTTTTGGACAAGCAGGAATTACTTCAATCATAACTGATTTTGATTTCTCAATGCAAGACTCATTGCAACGACAGACATTACTAGTAATAATCATATGTCTTAATGTACTCATATTCCCCAAAAAAATTGGTAAATGCCCCCTACTTGATTGCAACTTTAATGTTATGAGACACTTAATATTCCGTAGTAATAATGGTGAGACAACATCATATTCCATTCCATATACTTTGAGATCTAGAGACCTTAGATGAGCTAGTGAGCTAACTTCAGACAAAAATGATTGGTCTACAGAGATTCCTTCTAAATCCAAGATTGTGAGATGTTCAAAATTTTTAGCAATCCATGAGGCATTATAATAAAAGGATAAATAATGATGATCGAAAACCAAAAATGTTTGAATAGAAGAATTCTGTGGTACCAATTCAGAAGCATTATCAGATGTCGAATGCATATGAAAACATATTCGACGTGGGGTAAAATTTAGAGTTGGATCCCACTTCTTTTCCATATTAATTATCTTCAAGGAAATTTCTTCTCTAGCTTTTGTTAAGCAAAAGTCATGTACCAAATCATGAACTATGCATGATTCAATGCGACCATCATAATTCTTTCCAGACACCATAATTAGGTTACTGCTAACCAGATGGTTTAAGTAATCCTCAGCCTCATCTTCTACTCTCCCTTTCTCTGTCATTCCTATGATGAATCCTTCAGATATCCATAGTTTTATTAGTTTCGAAACTTCAATTTTTTCATCCTCTGGGAATGCAGCAAAGTAAAGTAAGCATGGTTTCAAATGATCTGATAAATACTTGTAACTAAGCTCTATCACATCATTGCTTTGTATTCTATCTCCAATATGACATGTGAGTTTAAAGTAAGAAGAAATTCACGCCATATTTGTTCACTCTTTTAACCTTTTTCAAGAAGACCCGCTATCAAACCAATTGTCAAAGGTAATCCCCCACATTTTTTTGATATTTCTCTTCCAACATTTTCAAGCTCTTCAGGACATCCCTTCCCTTTAAATAACTTCACTTGCAATAATTCCCAACTCTCATCAATAGTGAAGAAAGGAAGACGACAAATATGTTTGGCATCAGAAACCACACTTTCTTGTCTGCTTGTTAAAATAATTCTACTTCCATTGTCACATGAGGGAAAAACTCTATTCAACTCTTCCCATACTTTTTCACTCCAAATATCATCCAACACTATGAGGTATCTCCTTCCCATAAGGCTTTTGCGAAGCTCTTCAGCTACACTGTCAATCTCTGTCTTGTGGCCACAAACATCCTTATATATTTCATTCAACAAGTTCTTACAATCATATTCTTGAGAAATAGTACACCATGCACGCTTGTCAAAGTGGTTGACTACATTTTTCTCCTCATACACTCTCCTTGCTAAAGTTGTTTTTCCCAATCCGTCCATACCAGTAATTAAAATAACTTCTCTCTCATCTGACCCATGAATAATATGTTCTATGATAGTTTTTTCTTCCTTCTTGAAACCCACAACTATAGCATTATCTGGATTAGAGATGTTTGGCATCATTTTGATCTCGAAAAGCTTGTATTATGTCTACAATTACAGGGTTTGGTTAAAATATATTCAATATTTTTCATCCATGCATCAGAATAAAAGAACAAATTAAAGTAAGAAAGTGATAAATTATGAGAGGCAAAGAACTTGATAAGGGATGTGATGAAAAGAGAAGAGTGTTGGCACAAAGAGGGCAAATTATATCATGCACCGTGGTGCATGATCACTCATGCACCGCGGGTCATTTTTTTAAATGAAAAGAAACGGTGTTTGTTTTCCGCTGTTTCGCACCTTTTTGCAAAAAGTAACCCTGTTATTCAGTGTCATTTTGTATACTCTGCAGTTTCAGTTCAACACAACTACAGTTTCATTTCGATATAACTATAGTTTCATTAGATATTTATAGACTCAAATATGTGAAAATGTTATTTAATTTTATTTTATATACACTATAGTTTCATTAAAACACAACTACATGATCATTTTGATATAATTACAGCTTTATTGTACAATATACACTCAAATATGTGAAATGTTATTCAGTTTCATTTTATATACACTGCAATTTCATTTCACTATAACTACAGTATCATTTTGATATAATTGCAGTGTCGATTTAGATATACTGTAGTGTCAGTTGGTGTTTAATACATCAAACAAGCGGACTCCGTTAACTATAACGGCGGGCTGTTTCTTTACTTAAAGAAACGGCGCCGTTTTTTACCGCGGTCTATGATATAACGACTCCACAAAGAGGATATAAATTAATATTAAAGTTTTTACTTTTTCTTTTCTTTTTAGGAAATATAAAGGTATCTTTTAGAAATGAGCTGCCATAAATTGGAAACTTTATACAGTAATAAGTAATTACAAGTAGTGTTTTATGGGAAGTGAGAATTGAAAGAAATGGAGATCAGAGAATAAACGAAGGAGAATTGATTTTTGGTGTTAAATGATTGAGGTGAAGACTTTAGAGGATGGTGGTTAATTGTGTGGACGCGTCATGCCCATGTGAACAAAAGTTGTTGGCAGAGATGTTGTTTAATCTTTTGGTCTTATTCATTGACTAGTTATAGTCACTATTGCAAAAATCGGTCTAGGCCCTCGCTTAGGCGTTAGGCGTCCTTACGTTGTGACGATTTTCCCCTAGGCGCTCGCCTAGTGCTTAACTCGACCGATTCCGTCGAATTTAGTCGAGTTAACTTGTCCATTTTGGTCTAGGTAGCTAAGTTAACCCAGTCGTCTTGGCCTTACTAATTTTTTTTTAGCTAGCCTAGGCCGTCTTGGCGCTAGGCGCTACTCTACCGCTCGACTAGCACCTAGCACCTACTGCAACCGTGATTATAATATGAGTATTGCACTATTAATTTAATGCCCTATATAACAATTAAAATAAGAAACTATTTAATACACTTTTCAAATAATAAATAATTATATGATTAAAATTAATATTTTCAACTTGTAATAAAAGTAATAGTAAATATGAGTTTTGTTGTAGATAGTTATAATCGAGAATAAAAATGATTTCTTAACAATTTTCATATTAAAATAAATTAAGCATTCTTAATGCAATATTGATGATGGGTCAGTAAAACTTAACTTATTGTTTTGTTAAAAGTAAGATAATTATAATAAGCTTCCTGATGTTGTTGAATAATAATTAAAAAGTTGTGCAATTATGTTATAACATATGAATTCATAAATTTCCTTATGTATATGATTGGAACCTCAAATGTTGTTATATATAAATATTCATCTTGTAAACTCTCATTGACATTTTAAAATATTATTTAAAATATTATTTAAAATATAAATAGCGAAATTTTATCTCATACATAGTATATCAAGTTGTAATAAAATGTACTTTTTAATTAAAGTAATATAGATTTGGAATAGAAAATTAAAATTTGTGCTATAACAGATAATGTTTGATTTAAGTAAAAAAAGAAAAACTATATTTTTAGAATAATTATAGCAATACATTCATATATCTTTTAGGATGAAAATTCTAACAAATAATAGCTTTTATATTTTTTTAATTTTGATGTCTTTTCTATTAAATTTGTTCTACGCTCTTCTAATAATCTAGCTCACTCTCTTGCTACAGCTACCTATTCTTAAGCAAATAGTGTGTACCAGAACTCTTTCCTTCTTGACTTTATCTCGATTCCGTTTTAATAAATCAAGTTTTGATTTGCCTTCAAATATATGCTTTAATCCCATGAGAACACACCTCCAGAGAAAACTAAGATTAAATCTCAACCTTACATTTGTAAAAATTCGATGAAAATGCAATTAGGTCATCGAACTTTTAAAAAAAATACAATTAAGTCCCTGAATAATACAAATTCATGCAATTAGCCCCAAAATGACCTGTTCAAAGAATTTTATTTCTTGTCGTAGAAATCGAACCAAACAGCAGAATAGATCTATTCTAATATTCAATTCGCAATATCTTTCACGAACCAAACCTCACATATAATTCATACTAACAAAACTATTTCAGAAATTAAAGAAAGTAAGTTACCTCTATTGATATGAACACCTCGAGTTACGTTGATTGAGAAAACTTGTCAAAGATATAGCATAGCTCAAAATCTGAAATTAGATACAAAAATAATCAAATGAATTAATAGCCTAGCAAATCTGCACTAATCATCGTTAAACTAATGAACATATATTACAGTTTACAGAAGCAAGTAGTTTATATATAATATTTGAGAAAGGACATAATTACCTCTGCAAGTGAATGTGTTTAAAAAGACAGATGTTTCATCAAAGTAGAAGTAAAAGGAATTTAAGAAGAAATTGAGAGAATAGAGAGCAGTTGATATAGCAGCGGAAATTGATCGGAAGAAACTGCTTTAATTTATAAGAAAGAAAATGTTGAAGGGGAGAGAACTAAGTGTGACAATGTATGGTATTCCTACAAATAAAATAATTAATTTCAATTTGACATATTCATTGATAAACACTTACCAACAACTACAAAATTTTTTATCCTCTCAACCATAATCGTTTTGTCATTTTCTACGTTTATTTTCAACTTACATTATAAAAACATGTATATATTAATTTCAAGTTGATGCATTCATAATCATTAACAAAGACTTAATTGACAAAACCACATCATTTTTAATCCCCCCTACAACAATTATCATTTTGTCATTATATGTCTACTTTTAATTATTTACAATACTAACAACGACTAATAATACAACTACTAAAAATATATTATTGAATAGAGTTCTACTACATAGACTCCCAAAATTCTACTCCCTCATTTATACATTCTAAGGTGGCAAACCTTGATTGATTATTTTTATCATGTGAGTCCACTGAAAAGTGTCTACATCAAAAGCATGTGAGAGGGAGTACAAGTTGGGAGTTTAAAATGGGATACACCAAGTATTTTCTTATTGAATTATACTAGTCTTTGAATTAGTGCTGCAAGTTGCAAAAGCCATCAGAATATTTGACTAAAAAATGTTTAACTGTGCTCCAAAGGGGAGCTGAACATGTGGAATATAATTCATGTACTTGAAGGGAGTGTTTAATACATAGTTGTTAGCTGATTGAGTTAATGAGTTTGACTAGTTGATAACATTAGCTAATTGTAGAGAGATGTTTAGTAAATTAGTTGTTAGCTGATAGCTTATTACATACAAAATGACTTTCTCAAAAAGCTAATCAAAAAAACTGCTTTGGAATTTTTTTTTTTAAATTTTAGGGTGTGTTTGTTTTCCAGGTTTCCAGTGTTTGGATGTGTCTGGAAAATTAAGTCAACGGAAATCATTTTCCGTTGACTTTGAAAAATATGCTTGTTTTGGAAGAAAATGACTTCCCCTTTTTTGGGGAAGTCATTTTCCAACTTTTACACCACCACCTCACAGCACTACCGCCACCACCACCATTGCCACCCCTGTCGCCACCACCACCACCATACCACCGTAATCACCGCCACCCTCACACCACCATCAACACCATACCACCACCACCACCTCACTACCACAATCACCACCACCACCAGTACAAGACCACACTACCACCACCACCACCACCGCCGCCGCCACCACCACCACCATACCACCGCAACCACTGCCACCACACCATCACCATTGCCACCACTGCCAGTTATTGTTGTTATTATTATTATTATTATTATTATTATTATTATTATTGTTGTTGTTGTTGTTGTTGTTGTTTTTTTTTTTTTTTTTTTTCTTAAACAAAACTTTATTAAGCAAAGGAATTAAAATGTCTTACAACTGATGGTCCAAAAGTGACTATAACACTTACTCAGCCCTTGAGATTGGGCCTATACTAATATAAAGAAACTAAAATAAAGGATGGACTCAAGTCCTAACAGGCCAGGGCTAAAGAATGAAAGAATAAAATAATTGACCCAAGCCCAACTAATAAGCCAGATCAAAGGAATAATAAATGAAGAAAAATAAATAAATAATAGGGGTGCTGAAATGGAGACACAAAATCCCACTATCGACGTCGCACCAATTTTCGCAAAAACCAGCAGCATAATGGTTGTTTCTAGGAGAATAGCTACACTTGCGTGCCACCATGTACTAGTGCGCCACCATGTACTAGTGCGCCACCATGCCGCACCACCACAAAGTTGCAATGCCGCGACTCTGCACCACAATGCAATGATGCAACAGTGTCAACACGGTGACAACGCTTCACGCCCACGTCTCGTCAAATTATTGGCTGGCCAAAACCTCCAGGAATGCTAGCCCATTTTGTAAGATATCCGACAGCATAACGGTTGCTGCAGGGCTATCTCACAAGGGCAGAAATACACAACAACAGCTGCCCAACTATCAGCACAAGGCAAACAAATCACAAAGGAGGCACGTAGGCCCAAAAAACTAATAAATGACACGCAGGCCACCAAATAAAGCACACATGCCTGAGTTATTTTGATATCTGATTAGTTATTTTTTATTATATTTAAATTTATTATTATATTATTATATATTATTATACATGTTGTAATATTCTAAATAAAATAATTAAAATGCTTAAATATACAATTCTACTCATTTTTCAGAAAATGAACCAAACACACC